TGTCAGTAAGCACTGGGTGTAACTCTTGGTCAGTGGGTTCCCTCTTGGGTACAAATTGTTCTCACTGGACTAGAATCTGTGGAGCAAATGGCCAACAATCTATAAGCCACCTGGCCATTACATAATCTAGGCCCTTTTCCATATTTTTATGTTTTGTTTTGCTAGTTCTGCTTGCCATCTCAGGTGGTGCTGGTGGTAAAACAATCTCCATGAGTCAAGGCAATGGTGCTGTGGCCTGCAGGATACCTAGCGTCATATTCCTCATATCTGGCAAGATTTGATATGGTTTCAGTTATCCAGCACAATGGAAAATTGTTAATCATATGACTCTTTCCCAAGGAGAGGGAGAAATGACTTTAACAGCATTGGTGGGTTAACGGCTTGGCCTCGCTGATATGGCAAGGAGTCCAGTTCATGTTTGGTTTTAATAACCATCCCTTATTGCTAGCAAAAAAGATTCAAAGCAAACAGGCAACAGGGCAGTCAGAAGCCCTGTTGCCTACAACTTTTTCTCCCAGCCCGCCCCATACATTTACCTAACGCTAATGAGATGTATTGATTGGAATGATGGGATTTGTAAAGGTCGTGGGGTGACAGTCCATAAAACCAGCTGTGCCGGATCTGCAGCATCAGGGCCGATGGGTCTGGGGGGACAGATTAAGCCTTTGCACTGCAAGAGCTGACATCAATTACCTTGCAGATGTGTGAGCAGTTATAATGTATCTTCCCATGAGGCAGTTAACTCCACAGAGGTTCCTTTCCCCTACTCAGTCCTCCAAAGCCTGTTGAGTTATCTGGTTTAATCTTAGTAAATCAGAAAGGGAGAGGGACGCAGAACTGCTTGTGCCGTACCCTCTTGGGAAGTGCTGGCCCACTTCCAATGCCTTTGTCATGTGCTGTGAATTCTGACTGAGTGATCAGCATAGATATGGTCCCGGAATCTAGACTGCCAGTTACCGTTTTGCATGATAGACACATGGTGTTTCTTTAAGGTCCTGGCAAGAATGCAGAGTGAACTTCAACACACACATACACATTTCACACCTGTAACAATAGATGACTTCTCCTTACCATGTGGCAGGAGATGCTTTCCCCTTGATGTTTCACTCCAGAACATGTGGAATGGTAAAAACAGTGGGCTGTGAGAAACTCTGGAACACAGTAAGGGATCGGCTTGAAGATATTTTTGAAGATGGAACTTAACTTAAATAACTGTCAATGCTTATCACTGCATTTGTTGTAAAACTGCCACTACCCATAAGCTCAGTTTGCATTAATCAGCACACTTTAGCCTGCATACCCTTAAGGAGGTGTTCCAAAATAAGGTATTTAAAATGCAGTTATCTCTTTTTACTAGTCCATAAGATATTCATGCCCTATGCAATTTCAGTCATTTGTGGTCAGCTTCTAATTTTTGCTTGTTTTTATTTTTGAAATGAAGAAATTGCTGATTAGAATCATGACAGCTTCTATCTAAGGGCATGTCTTTGCAGATCCCATTTTTAGATCAAGTACTCGGTCATCATCTAGTGAAAGATATCTCGTTTGAATTTGCTGTCTACTACTAATAAATATTTTTTCAAGGCCTATGAATGTGTCTTACTTCCAACCCAGCCAGGTTATACTACATGTTGAAAGTAGAGCAAGTATCAACAATATCTGGCCTGCCAGTCAACATAAGCCTTATAGTTTCCTCCTTTTGGCCCACTAATTCCTGGTCTGGATTATTAGTTGTTCTTTTGATGCTATCATTCCAGACCTAGTTCAGGATTTGGTGGAAAGCCACATTCCTGTTTATGTTGATTTGAATTTGGTGCATGAAGGCAGTGTGACCTAATCCCAGTTATTTCATTATTTAGCCTTTTGTTGACTTCCATCCAAGTACTAAAATCTAAGCACTTCATCTCGACAGGTACATAGACCAGCATGTGCATCTATTCTAGTAATCACTCTCTGTTGGTGGGTAGAGTTTGATACTTAGGAGGATTTCAGATCCTTACTGTTAGCAGCAGGTTTCTTATGCTGAAATGATGTATGGTATGCACATGGTCCACAATGTACCACAATGACAGGTCTGAGGCAGAGGGAGTTATTAGCCTGATCCTTGTTCTCCAATGCCATAGATGGTACTACTGCTCTTTAGTCCAGGAGGATCTTTGGTACAGTATAATTTTTTTCTCAGTACAAGCACCTTGTTACTCAAGTTGCATTATGTAGTCTTATCCAATTCTCTTACTCAAATGAGCTAGTGGTAGGTGATGTAGTTCAAGCTACGTCACCTACCACTAGTTCATTTGATCTTTGTTTTCCTTCCTTGGAACCTGGCCATGCACTTTTGGGGAGCAAAGCTGCTTGCCTCTGGCTCTTAGGGCACTTTGTTGTTGGTTTTGAACTGAACATACAATAATAAAAAATAATAAAAACTGAAAAGTGTATTTTATCTTAATGTGCACATTTCTAAATGTATTTTATCTTAAAATATATACATTTTACACATTTTAGTACAATTTATAAGTTGAAAACAGTTTTGCAAAATTTGGAGAAGTATGAAATCTGAAATATAGTTACATTCATCCTTAGTCAAAGAGGTGTAGACTGCAGTGGAATTCAGAGAAATCAAATTCTTCAGCCATCACTACTTTGCCTCTGAACATCAACAGACCTTCATACTGACATATTTTCCCCAGAGGGAGAAGCATATGGTCCTCTGTTCAAGGTGCAGTCAAAAGATACAGGCTACTGCATCTCACATTTCGTTTCAGCCTTGGATTGCCCTGCCTAGGCAATCCAAGGCTTGCCACATCATGGGATGGAGCTGCTTCCTGTGGCTGCTGTAGTCCTAGTAAAATCCTCTAACCACAATAAACCAATGAAAATACATTTGTGAGCACCGGAAGACTCCACCTGATTTTGAAATTTTCCCCAGAGTATGTTGCCATGGGGGAATTTAATATTAAATCCCAGCAAACACCCTCACCCTCTGCTCTTAACTCATCCATGAATGTAGCAGCATCTGTTCCTTCTTCCACCCTGTGTGTGTGTGTGTGTGTGTGTGAGAGAGAGAGAGAGAGAGAGAGTGCTCTTGTGGGTTTGCTTGCTCTCTCTCTCTCCTGCTTTTGCTCTCTGCGCTGGTAATGAGTGGTTTGCAGTGGGAACTAAATGAAGTTGATTGCCCACTGGTGTCTGCCATTAGTGGTAATTAGTTAAAACATCAGAGTATAAACAGTAAATTGGATCTAATAATTAATACTAGCACTCAAGCATATGAGATAGACTGGGAGAGAAGCAGCAGCTTGTAAAATCAGTCGGGGATGTTTTAATTAAAAAAGAAAGAATGTAAATAACACTGTATTGGAAAAAAGGACAAAAGGCATTGGGGCTGCCTGCGCTCATTAGCAGCCTAAGATTCTGTCTGCTCCAGGGCGCAGAGGAGGGACTACTAGCCCCCAGAAAACTCCAGGTGTGGAGCAAAGCAGGATCTTGGGTTTTCCATTGCATGCTGAAGGAGAAGGCGGAATAATTCCTCCGGCAAGTTAATTTCTGGACCAGCGTGACATTTATTGGGGTTTCCCCCATCTTGGGTTAGTAGAAAGGTTTTGCAAATGTAACTTTTTTTTTGAAGCTTGTAAAATTGCAATATTTTCACATGCCCACCAGGGTTTCCTGTTTTCAAAATCATAAAATTCGCAACAGGTCCCAAGTTTATACTTTTTAAAAAACAAAATATTTTTGATAAGGGCAAAATATTATTCTTTATTTTGCTGAAGACCAGAAGGTCTACATATGTAAAATGAGAGATGTAAAGGAATGAAAACAAAATTTAAAAAAAAGCAAATTACCTAAATAGGGCTGCAGTTTTACACACAGTTAAGCATGATGGGCAGAACAAACTGTAACAAAGCAACGTGTGGCATGAAGTACCATGTTCACCAGCCCATATTTACAGCCCTACTGGCCAGGATAGAAGATAGGGTGGGTTTTTTGTTTTGATTTTGCTGCACTATCTGCCATCTGGAACAGCAGATTGTGCACCTCTTCAGGAAACAGACTGGCCATGGATCCTGTGGATCTGTCTCTCGCCATACTTCCTCCCACTCCACCCCATGATGCTCCGTTTGGTGTTCTTCTGCTGATCACCTCAGGCAGTAGCTTCCCAACTGCCTGTGATTACCGCTGAGGCCTCCAAGTCAGCAGAGCTGAATGGTGAGAAAACACTGCCTAATCCAAACCCCTTCTAGTGATGCTGAGCAAGGGGTTAGGATTTCACTGTTGAAGGTTTTTTATTTCAGTATAAATGAAGCAACCTTTACTGTTGGTTCTGAATCACAATCAAGCATGCCAAAAAGGACAATGAAGTCAGAGTTCATAATAAATCAGAATTTGTTTCATACTTGTTGCAGCTTCTTTCCACCTTTGAGCCTATAGGTTTGGAGAGCATGTGCAGTTGTCTGCAGTGCAGTCTATTCAGACAGAAGTAAGTCCTACTGAATTCAGTGGGACTTTCTCCTTAGTAAGTGTGTACAGGATTCCAGACCTTTTTTTTTTTTTTTTTTACTTGAGGGACAAAGCATACGAGGCTGACCACTCCTGAAATAACAATCAGTTATGCCCATTGGTGCGATGAAGATCAGTCGAATTTCCTAGTGTATATCTGCACAGTTCTATATTCACAGATCTGATGGACCATTTCCTTGCTTCCCATCTCAACTATCTTTATCCAGAGCTTAGTCTGCTAGTGGCCTGCACTGTTGATGCAGAGTGGCATGGAATCAGGCAAAGATTTTCAGTCCACATAGCTGGCTTCCTACAGTGAATGCAAGAGTGACATGGAAGAAATAGTACCTGATTTTCCTGATGATGCATTGATGTTTGTGTGCTGCTGAATATGCTAGAAACTTCCTTCTAACATTCTTCCATTCGTGTAAGTCATAGAGCCATAGAATTGTGGAGTTGGAAGGGACTAAAGGGTCATCTATTGATCCCATAATGCAGGAATCTTTTGCCTAACATGGGGCTTGAACCCATGACCTGACATTAAGAGTCTCATGCTCTTCTGACTGAGCTATCTCTGCCTCTACCGTGTTCACCTATTGTAGGTCCAGTCTGTGTTCCAAAGCTACATTTCCAGAAAGAAGATGGAAAGATCTAACTTGGAGGCCCACATTTTTTAACACATTGATGGTGGCTGATATGATTATAACAAGGGACCTTATGCTTCATCCTCCTTTCCTCCCCCATTTCCTTCCTGTCTGAGAATTCATCCACTATCCCAGGTCCAGTGCCTTAGGCTGTCACCAGAGAGAGAGAGACATAATAAATAATAGTAGGAGGGAGGTGGTGCCACATTATGTCTTCATAATGTACCGAGTGTCTGTGCTAAAAGCATTAGTAAGAAGGTGAGATATCCCTCCACTGGGTAGTGAATAAAAGCTGTGTGTGTGTGTGTGTGTGTGTGTGTGTGTGTGTGTGTGTGTGTGTGCGCATATATATATATATATATATATATATATATATATATATATATGTATTCATTACAGCCCTGCTCTTCCTCAAATTGGCTGGAACTGGCAGATTCCTAAGAAATGGCCTTTTCCCCCTCCTGCTCGACACACAGAGGTTTTATGCATTTCCAGGAACTGTGGTATTAAACCTGGAGATGTTGAAATTGTTGTGGGACTAGACCTGAGTTGTATTGTGCTGAATTTTTCTGGATTTTGATTTTCACACAAATGTTCCAGGGTTGAGTGAGGAGGAACTAAAATGTTTATGACAAAACCTCTACTTCCCACTTTTTAAATGTGTCTGTTCATGCCCATTCACAGATACTGCTTTTTCAATCTGTTGCTGCTTTAAAGGTAAAGGACCCCTGACAGTTAAGTCCAGTCGCGAATGACTCTGGGGTTGCAGTGCTCATCTCGCTTTACTGGCTGAGGGAGCTGACGTTTGTCCGCAGACAGTTTTTCTGGGTCATGTGGCCAGCATGACTAAGCCGCTTCTTGCGAAACCAGAGCAGTGCACGGAAACGCCGTTTACCTTCCCGCTGGAGTGGTACCTATTTATCTACTTGCACTTTGATGTGCTTTCGAACTGCTAGGTTGGCAGGAGCTGGGACCGAGCAACAGGAGCTCACCCCGTCATGGGGATTCGAACCGCCGACTTTCTGATCGGCAAGCCCTAGGCTCAGTGGTTTAGATCACAACGCCACCCGCATCCCTTTGTTGCTGCTTTAGGTCAGTGCAAAAGGGGACACATCTCTGTTGTACCTGAGTTTACCACATAGTGCTGAGATGACTTTCATTGCCTGCTAGCACTGTGAAGATCCCTGGTTCCAAATGTAGTTGTGTTCAGTGCCAGATCTTCAAATTTTACTATAGAAGGCAAAAGTCTGCTCTGGCACCCACCTCTCCCTGATTGTGAACGATGGGCTGTAAACCTGCAACCCCAAATTAAACAGAGGGAGGAAGCCACAGATCCTGAAAAATTCCTACAGACAGCCTTTTACAATGTTTAATTCTTTGATGCACCTTAACGTCTTTTACAGTAATGATTTTCTCCAACCCGAAACCAAGCTAAGCAAGTTTGCAACTAATACTTAGGTGGAAGACTTCTAGGGAAGCCATACCCAAGCTTCCTTGAAGGAAGGCTGGATAAAGTTTAGCAAATAAATAATTAGTACTTTGTCACTTAGTTCAGTATTGCCTGAACAGACTGGCAGTAGATCTCCATGGTTCTCTCCCAACTCTACGTGGAGATATGGGAGACTGTCTACTTGCAAAATAGATGCTCTGCCACTGAGCTATGGCCCCTTCCCCCTTGTGAATCTTGTATTGATTTTGAGGGGAAATCCCAACAACACGGATGAAGTATTTTCCTCAGAATGGCAGCAGAAGAGGAAAGGGAAAACTTTCCTTCTCCACATTTGGATCACATTAAGAATCAGCGATTGATTAGCTAATGGGGGTGATTTTAGTAGGAAAATGGCACAGGATTACCACCCACCCAGAGCACTGTAATCCTGAACTACTCTTTCTGCTGCTGCTATCTTCCACTAGTTCCGGCCCACTGCTCATTCCTTCCCTAACTTTTCCCCTCCTCACCTTTCCATGAGCATAGAACAAACCCTGAATTGTTTCAGGCAGTAGCAGGTATGAGAAAGGTAGGGGCAGGGCACTGTTTGCTGCCACCCCTAACCTGCCACCCAGGGCAGTTGCCTCCACCCCTCAATTTGGGCCTGGTTATGACTCTAGGACAGAAAGTGGGTGGGGGTGCACATCAAATGTATAATCCCCATCTAGTTCCTGCCCCAACTAGGGGCAGGAGTGTTAGTCTGGTATAAAATAATAGAATCATAGAACTGTAAACTGGAAGGGACTACAAGGATCGTCTAGTCCCTGCAATGCAGGAATCTCTTGCCCAATGTGGGGCTCAAAACCATGACACTAAAATTAAGAGTCTCATGCTCTACTGACTCAGCTATCCCAGATATGCTACTTTTTCCCCTTTTCAGTAACCCTCCCGCTACAAACATTTTCACACCCTTTTACAAATGGGTGGAAAGAATTGCAAAATGCATCCCTTGCTTCAGTTTAGAAGTTTCCCTAGGCAGTGGCTCTCACTTAAGTGTATGCTTCGAGGGCGCTTAATATTACATACTATGCATCCTAAAGCATTTCAAAGAGATGTCTCTGAGCCTGGCACCGTTGCCCCTGCTCTTTGAGGTTTGAGGCACTGGGAAGGGAACACACCCAACTCAGGAGGGCCAGACCAGGAGGGCTGCACATGCATGGTTGTTAATCATCTTCTGAATGCACTAACGATGCTAATGCTGTAAGTGACAGTGGCCCATCTTTAGGGCCATGATTTAGGGGCTCTGAGCGGAAGCCCAGCTCTAGGGAGTAAATGCATGAATTCTCCACTGATACTAAACCTCCTAATAAATCTTGCACACACCAAAAAGCCCTAAGCACTAAATCCCAGAATCCGGTAATTGAAACCCTCCAAGCTCATGGGGATGAAAAGGTAAATTGCCCACGTGTGTTTTTATTATAGTTTACCTGATTATCTCCCAGGGAGACAAAGGAAAGCAGGGTCTTCAAATTAACACACCACATTTCACACTGTGGAAACAGTATCTGTAACATGAGCATATGGCTGAAGGACTGAGTTCTATGCAGCAGGGCCTTGGGATAACTGCAATTTCACCTGATAAATATCCAAACCCAATGTTACACTGTTGCCTCTGTATTGCATCTCTTTGCTGTTCTCCATTGCCCTCTGCTGCCTGCTCTGTGGGAGAGCCAGATGCATTAGGAATGGCTTATAATATTGTTCACAACTGTGATTGTGCATTTCATTCATATAAAGAAACAAGCTAGTGCTGTGCTACAGTGCTAACTATCAACACAATGCTGCGGATATTAAACATTATAAATTTCAGCTTGCTATAGAAATGGTTGAGTTTATCTTCTTAATCACAGAAAGCTAGATGTGAGACCCAACATAGTGCTATTGGGTCTCTGCTGGCACAATGCGACTTTGCCTTCCTCTCTACCCCCTAAAGCCCCTTGATCCAGAAGGTTGGGGGGACCCTCTGGAACAATTTTTGGAGTGCCCAGGAGGCTGGATGTCATGCTAGATCGTATTATCCCACTTTATACATTGTAAAATAGGATTTAGGAGAATCACTTGTCCAGAGCCATTTAACTAAGTTTGTGTCTGAACGGGAATTTTATTTCAGTTCTTTTATTTCTGTAAACCTCACTGTTGAGATGGGCTGGTAGCAAGTGATGATAAAATCTATTACTGTGTCTGTGTGTTTGGGATTTATTAGTGGCATTTTCTTGAAGGATGCCCTCATTTAGATAAAGAATAAAAAAGGTACAATACAACCCCTACATCTCCTAAAAAAGAAAAGTGCAAGCCAAAGATACATTGGTCCATTTCTTCTTACATTGGTCACCAACATAGCACTAGATCACAAACCTACTAGGAAGTCTTTCATGAGATAACTCAGAGATGGGGCACTCAGAGTCAATGGCAAGATGGGATATGGCGGAAATGACCGGCAGAATCCGAGACCAGGGAGAAGAATCGGTGAAAGAAGACTGGAAAAAATTTAAGGACTATTTACAGAAATATTGCAAAATTAAGGAACTTTAGAAGGATGTTGGCTAGAAACTAAGAGGTTTTTAGCTGTAATGCTTTAAGAGATATGGGAAAAAAAAAGGTTAACAGTTGGGTAAAAGATTAATGGTAGGGATTTGCTGAACCAACAAATGGAACTGGAATACAAAGAAGGGAGGTATGAGGAGGTCTGGGGAAATAAGAGTAAGGAAGATAGGTTATGGAACATTATTGTGTTTTTAACTGTTTTATTTTGTATGTTTTTTTTCTTATTTTCTACTTTTTTGCTGTACTCTATACTTTTTTCTTTGTCTTGTGTATTTTTGTGAAACTTTAATAAATATCATTATAAAAAAAAAAAAAAGATGGGATGCTCTGCTGGGACATGTTGCCCAAGACATGGACCACGCCAATGCAATGCCTTGTTATTGTGGTGCTCTCAGGTTTTTCCTCAGGTCTTTTCAATGTTTCAAATTCTATCTATCAGAGTGCTACAGTTCAGAGTAATCCTTATGGCTCTACACTGTTCAATGAGATCATGGTTCTTGGATCTCAGTTGTCTCAGGTTCAAAATCAGTAGCATATATCTTTGTATTGGGACATTCTGGTATCCAGAGTGAAAGGGGCATGGTCCATGAGAACGTCATCTTCACTTTCTGTAATAGACTCTGTGACCTGATATTTTTTGGGGATGAGACAAAAAAAAAAAAAAGCTTCATTCATTTTAAGACACTAGCAGGTAATGTCCTATGGCTCCTACAGACCACAGGGTGCTATGAAGTTGGCATTTTGTCATGAGCTCCCAGCATGCAGTCTAGTGTATTCTTCTGCCATTTAACTAACCCAGATTCAACTTACCCAGAACTCTAATGGGAGCCAGTGTGAGGGCTCCAGCTAACAACAGTAGGGCTGCCTCCCCCCCTCCACCTCCCCAAAATCTTCTCTAGAG